CCTACGTCCCTGCTCCAGGTTCGACCCACACCAGGCAGAACTCATCAGGCACACCTGCTGCCACTCACTCATACAGCCGAGACATGGGGGGGGCCACTACCTGAGAGAGAAAAGGAACACACCCCAAACCAAACACATGACCCTTAGGGGCGTAACACTTTCAAATAGCCCGATTTTGGCAGCAGATTTCACTTACAGCCATACCACCTTGAGCACGCCCAATCTTGTCTGATCTCGGAAGCTAAGCAGGGTCGGGCCTGGTTAGTACTTGGATGGGAGACCGCCTGGTAATACCAGGTGCTGTTAGCTTTTTAGTTTACTTCACTAATGTCCTAACCTTTCAAATAGGCAGATTTTGGCAGCAGATTTATTGATGGAGTGTTTTATAAGGAAACGACTTTAAGTGATCACAAAATGGTGTTAATGAGAATGGATTTTAAAAGAGAAATGAAGGAGTAGAAGCAGCAGTTGTAGTGTCAGAGAGTCGGAGAGTTAGAGCACTCTCATTGTCGTTATTGTGTCATATGTGTTAGGGCTGTATATTGTTACACTATATCAGGTTAGAATAGTTATTAATAATTAATATTTGTTATTATTAATTATAGTAGCTATATTATAGTCTTTGTATATTAATTAGATAAGATTATTTGGATTTTTATTAGCTTAGATTTTTGGATCTGGACTGCTTTTTTTATTGGATTGCCCTTTTGGATTTGTTTGCTTTTAATGACATCTTTCTTTTTCATGGTAATGGAGTCAGCAAGAAAGAGTCTCCCCTGTCTGGGCTCAACAGAAGCATCAGTATCTTCATGTATACCCACTGGCACTGACATTTTATGTTCCCCTGCATCCTCTGTTCCTTGTGAAAGGATAAAAATATATTGTAATCCTTCCTGCATCCACCCCAAACTGCAGTGTTTACTGCAGTTTACTTTATTACACTCCCTTGAGTCCCTCCACCATAAGCACTGCACTCAACACAGTCACTTTTGTTGTTCATACTGTCACTATCCAAATTTTTTTTTAAATACTTCATAAACTGTGTGTGTGACAGTTGTCTCTGTACAGGTAAACGCAGACAGAGAAAGATAAACGTTTTATTTCATTCCCAGGCAATGGACAAATGTCTGCACAGATCTCTTTATTATTGCAAATGAAAGGTTACAGAGACATTAACAGTGAGAATAAAACAGAGCTGGAGGGGGGCGGATCATTGGTTTAGAATGAATTAATTTGCCTGCTATTTCTTTGCACAGTAGCTAGGTGTCAATAGTGAGCAATGCTGAATGAAGCTTCGAGTAATGAACCTTTGGTTGAAGCAATGGCCTGCGAGGTCTCAGTGGTTCAGGAAGCCTCATCTTGCCATCACTAGGTAAAACAAGACAAGGCAGAGGATAACTAACTAACAGCAAACAAACGAACAGGATCTTCACAGGACACGTAACTAAGACACGATACTCACAGGTAACTAATCAATGACTCAACACGAAGCTAGAGCAATCACAGGCAGGACTTCACAGAGCATAACACCACAGCAGGTTTAACAACGAACCGACACAGGACAGCAAACACATGGGGATTAAATATGGGAACACTAATGACGAGGACAGGTGAAGGTGACTAGACAATATGACAAGACGAGGATAACAAGGGGGCGGGGTCACGTAACAAGACAACACAAGCACATGGCCCACAAAAGGCCATGTGCTTGCACACAAAACATGGGTCTGTCATGATCCTGCCACAAGACCAGGAAAAATCAAAGACATGATGGCAGAATCATGACAAGTAATAGTTTGAATAAAAATAAAAATACTCATACTGGGAATGAGAATACTTCTGGACTCAATATACCATCCTCGGGTTCCTTTTGTATATAATTATATATATATATATATATATATATATATATATATATATATATATATATATATACAAAGCCAAAACAAATAGGTGGATTTGGTACCCACTCTACCGGCTGAGTATTAAATATACAACTGTATTGTTTGTTGAATTGCAGGAAGGGTTGTATTACTGTAGTGGCTTGCATTATTTTGTATTATATTATGTTGCTTCCTGTTTCTTTTCTGCCCTTTTTCTTTTTTTTTCTTGTAATATTTTCTGCTACTATTGTGGATGTAATTTCTGTTTTTCTTGTTTGTTTGTTTGTTCAGCCAATGTACTCAGTTGTTGATTGTCTTTGATGTATAGGATTTTGGGTGCCATCCAAATGTATAGTAGAATGTGGAAATTGCTGTAATACAAACCTAAATAGTAATACAAAAATAAATGCTGTAGGCCTATGTAATATCTTTATATCTAAAACAATCTGTATTGTATAATGCATTATAATAATAAAGGTGACAACTTTTTTTATTCAAATAATTCAATAAACCTAATCATCACTTAGTACCTGGATAATGTCTGTGAATGTGTGCAGGAAAGACTGAGACTGAATGGGGCTCGTTTGCACTACAAAACAATAAAGAACAAACATTGAATGGATGCTTAGAAAATGACAATAAACATCAGTTAGCATTTTAGAGTCTTCTCAAAAGAGTTTTAGACTTCAGATTTGAAATAAAACATAGTCATGTGGCTTTAGCTGCAGTGCATTTCTAGATTAAAACAATGCCACCTTCAATTTTATTTTCATAAAGATGTTTCATAAAAATTAATTTCTAATAACTTTACAAAACTTTGAAGCTATAATTATACTTTTTTTTCATTGTGACAATAATTAATTCTGACTTTACAATAAACTGCCAAGTGTCTGATTTCAAATGAGACCATACTTATGCTTTTAGTGCAAAGGGTTCATGAACTGTATCTGTTTTAATTTGGGTATGCCATATATTGGGATTTTTTCAAAAGCTGGCTAACAGGTTAAACCTTTTTCACTTCAGCAATAATCTGACAAGTGCCGTCTTTAAAAAGAGACCAAAATTACGTCTGTGCTCCAAAGCATTTAAGATTTATAACAGTTTAAGTTTAACTCAAAAAGTGCATAAATGCATTATAACTACTGCATAAATATAATTTAGTACCATAAAATCCCCTAAAATACAAAATATTAAATAAAATACATTAACAAACTAAAATATAGTATAATCATTTCATTTAAAAAATATATAAATTCAGTACTAATATTAATAAATAGTATAATGTTGTAAAGAAATTAAAAATCCATTTTTAGTTGTCAAATAATTCCAGGTAAAGTTCACTCTCAACCAAATAAAATTTCATGAGGTAACACTTGCATCAGACAATCGTAGAAGTCTGTTCTGAATAGTTGATAACTACTGATAATGTGTAATCCAGAGCGAAGATAATTAAATTCTAGAGCAAAAGATTTGCAAGTGCAAGAGTTTTCAACATTTTATCTTATGCTTTCGGTGTCCACAAGGGATTCATTTTTAGCATTCGATGACCTTTTTAATTTGCAGTGAATGTTTTATAATAGTTATGTACAGGCTCGGTGTGACAAGATGGACCTCAAAATCATAGTCACAGTTGGAAAGGGTTCAAATAAGCAAAAAATGCTGAAAAGAACAAATAATGTGTAGGACCTGGAGGATTTTCTGAAAAACAGTGAGTAGTTTAACTGCTTTAGGTCAAGTAATCACAATTATCACAAAAAAAAAAAGCTGCGAATCATTCAAATAATAACCCAACATTATGAATCAAGCGTATGTCAATTTTTGAACGGGTTCATTTATATAAATTTAATTTTCTGTTGTGGACTATATTTAATCATCTATTATGTAAAAGTGTTTATCCAGGGCAGTACTAAATAAACAAGCAGCAATTTTTATAATCCCTCTTATTTTTATTTTTTAACATTTTACAGATTCTGTAAGATGTATGTAAACTGTACATAAGGAAAGTAAATGAAAGAATTCCAAAACTAGTGTAAAAATCAATCAACTTTATTTCCAGAGCAGAGAGAATATAAATCTTGTATTTTAAAAAAACAAAACAAAATGTCAGTATAAATCTTTGGCAGAAACCACAGATGATCAATGGTTTAATGTTTTAATTAATATCTCTTTCCACAAATCATATTTCAAAGAGAAGCTCTGTAGGTTACCATTTTCTTTCAGTTTATTAATTGTTTCCCCATTACCTTAGACTGAAAGAATCAGCCAGTGCTCAGACTGCTTCAACTGATTATTTTGAGTTGCAATTATGGGTGACAATGTAAACACGCATGTGAATGCACTGCCCGGCCAAAAAAAAAGAAGAAGAAAAAGTCGCCGTTTAGATTTAAATAGGAAAATGCTCAGGAGTCTATGATTGGATCATTTTTGCCGTGATTATTATGTTTCTAGCATGTTATATGTTTGGCAACAGGAAGACACATCATTGCCATATTCCAGGATGTCAAATTCAAGATTCATCAAGCTCAAAGTGTGAAAGAATGTTTGAGTGTCCAGACCTTAAATTCATTGAAAGTGTTTGGGATGTGCTGAGGAGACTTTACAGATTGCTGGACTCTTGCATTCTCAATACAAGATCTGGACCAAAAATGTAAGCAATAGTTTTTGGTCAGGATCTTGTATTGACAATGCAAGATAATAATCACTGCAATAATGATCCAATCAAAGACTCTTGAGCATTTACCTATTTAAAATTCAAACAGTGACTTTTTTATGGGGCCGGGCAATGTATATAAATTTGACCAGATCAGGCTAAATTGTTGTTACAGCGATAATAACAGAATAACTGTTCCACCGGATACATTTTCTGCAGTGAAAACGTTACTGCAATTGGTACTATAAAATCGAATGTGGAAAACTAAAGTAATATAAAACAGTTAGCACATCAGCCCCACAATAAGAAGAACCAAAATAGAATTTGCCTGCAATCTTAGTGGATCTTAGTTATGCATTTATGAAAAGACGAGACTTCCAGAGTTTCCCTCCTTTAGCCCAAATTGTATTCCTCCATGCTTTCCAGAAGTGATGATGGATGCCGTCTCTACAGACTGTAAATGGGCGATTCAGATCACCCTCTGGCGCACAACCTTCTCATCTTCATCTTTTTTCAAGCAGTCCCCCTGCAGCAGTGGAGAAATCTCTGAGGAAACACATGGATACAACACTTCTTTACTAGGGGTTTAACGATACATCTTTACATTGCTATATAAAAATGTGACTATGTATCGTTTTGATGTAAACAATATGATTTGCGATATTGAGTTAGTTTTATCCAAGGCTTAGCTTACTGTATTTATAAGGTATAATTCACCCATGAATGTAAATGTAAATTCGCCATCATGTCGTTTCAAACCTATAAGATATTAGTTAAACTTCCAAACACAAATGAAGACATTTTTATGAAACCTGAGAGATTTCTGTCCCTCCATTCAAAGTTTATTCCTCTAAAACTTAAAAGATCCAATAAACGTCATAAAGGCATCGTAAAAATAATCAACAGAGTGCAGCCTAACTGAAGAGACACGATGGCTTTATATGATGAACAGATTTACAAAAAAACAACATGAGAGTGAGTAAATGCAGAATTTACATTTTTGGATGAACTAACCATTTACAGTTTGGGAATAGTGATTTTGACATGCTTTCTTGCGATTAGAACTGTGATGGATTGCACTGACCATCTGAAGCGCACACTTGTCAAAGTAACCTGGACAGATTCAATGAAAGCCTGCGAGTGTACTGCGTGAATGTACGTTTACGGAGTTTCAGTGACATTACTACATTAAACTACTATATATAATGTTGAATATAATGTATAATAATGCAAATGGGGGAATATTTGTGAGCGCTGAAAATAATATAATAACAAAAAACATTATTTGAATTATAATAAAAAACAAAAGTATAATAAAAGTATCGAGAGATCAGTATCGCGATTTGTATCGAATCGTGACATGAGTGTATTCGTTACACTTCTAAAATTTACATTTGTTTACATCAAAGGTTCAGAGATCAATATAAAGCCTAAACTAAATCTGTTCTTCATATAAAGCAATCGTGTCTCTTCAAACAATTTAGACTAAACCGCTCAATTCGTATGGATTAGTTTTACGATCACTTTATGAACTTTTTGAAGTGTCATAGTGGTAGTTGCTTGGACAGTCAATGGAGGGTCAGAAATCTCTCATATTTCATTCAAATATTTTCATTTGTGTTTTAAAGATGAACGAAACGACATTGTTTTGGCTACATCTCTCAGGGCATCATCTTCCTGTAGCAGTGCTTCTCAAATCCCCCACCACCACATGCTGGATGTCTCCCTCATCTAACAATAGTGTGTGACCGATGAGGGAGACCTACAAAATGTGCAGTAATGAGGGGTTTGAGAAGCTGCTGTAGCATATACTTAATTCAGTGGATACACAACACCATAATCACAATAATACATAGCAATAAACCTGACCAGATTAACGGCAAAAATACTAATAAATTGTCTTTTCATTTTAAAGTTAAAGTATTTGACTGGAAGTGTGTGATTTGAAGCAAAAGAGCATACAAAGTGGATATCCAACTTTGATCTGAATTGAGCATGGCATGATGGATAGCATGTAAGCTGACATAAACCCCAATCAACAGGCCAGGGGTTTCTATTTTCACAAATCAGCATCTTTGGGAACACTTCACTAGAATGTGCTGCCCTCTTAAATGCCTTGTGAGCCCTATTTTTTTTGCCACATAAGAAACAGTTCCTGAACACAGGCATCTTCAGAGAGACAATGCCCGTCTTAAAGCAGCACTAAGTAGGAATTGCGTTTTTGTCAAACAGCGACCCCTAGAGTCGCTGTGGAGTACTTGTACTGTCGTGAATAGCACTCACGCAGAGATGGCTCACACTCACGGCCGGATCCCCTCCCCCTGTGCACCGGTACCTGTTCAGTAGGATGGACGCTGTAACGAGTGGAAATAAGGTATGGCCCCTTTAAGAGCTGCGTGCGCCCTGTTTAACCCTCTGGGGTTGGCGGTCTCGCCGGCGATACCAGCTCACTTTTTTCCTTATCAGTGCAAAAGAGACTCAAATTACTCTGTTGATTTTGATCTTACATATAAGTGTTGTACATCATTCGATCCTGTTAAGTTTGTATTTTTTTTGTGGAACCTCATAATAAAAACAAAGTGTTGTGCTTTTCACCTAATAAAGAAAAATAAACATGATGCGCGTTCTGCGTTCTCTCTGTCAGTGAAGTCCATTCTGAAACGCGTCCGAAAAATGAACTGTAACTCTGCAAATACTCAGTCAAACAGTTATACAGGCACACAGGCATGAAGCCTGAATTATCTTCTTTTAAATGAAGTAATTTATATAAAAAAAACACATTTTCTCATTTTATGTAATCTGTACGAAAAGAGAGAGATGATAGTCGTTCTCGTCTCAGCTCATTAACCCTCTGGGGACCAGAAACGCGCCGGCGCGTTTTGCTCGTTTTTTTTCACATAGCAGAAAAATAGACTTAAAGTACTACCATCATTTCTGTTCATATAGAGTTAAGAAATATGAGAAAATAATCTGTTAAATGTCTACTTTTTTATGTGCCCACATACAATCGAAATAAAATATTGTGCTTTTGTAAAATAAAGAAAATAAACAGGGTGTGCGTTCTGCCTCTCGGTCACCGTGAACTTTTTTTCTGGAGCACGTCTCTAATCTTCAACACAACTCAGCTAATACTATTCACCCAGCCATAAGCAATATATCTTTTAAATCATTTGAGTTTGTACTTTTAAATGATCCGATTCAAAACTAAAATTATTATTCTCCGTTTATGTCATCTATATAAAAAGAGAGACGTGTCAGCCCATCTCATTATCGTTCTCTCAGCTGATTATCTGTGGTAATGTGACACGCCCACGGAGAGCACGCGCTATTCAAACGCAAATATGTGAAGCAACACATTGAGACGCGTTAACGCCCATAAACTCTGAAAACACACATTATTTTTTAGTCAGATTAATCTACTGTCGTCTTGCGCGGCTATATGTGGAACAATCCTGGGACATTTACCACTGGGTTATTTTCACTTCGAGGATGAACAGATTCAGCTGAGAAGTAAGTGTTTTTTGCAAGTACTTTGTTCTAATCGCGATATAGAATAACGTAGTGTCTGTAAACGGAAAAATAGCATACTGTTAAATGTGAATCATGTTTGTGTCACACAGTTTGTGTGTGTGTGTGTGAATGAATGAATGAACGCACAGATACGCACTGTTACAGACTAAATAACAGACAACATTTCGTTGACTCGTTTTGGATAAAGTTTTTACTCTAAAATAGACATCAAATAAGCTTTTTTAGGAGTTTCTGCTCATATGTTAAATATATAGTATGTTTTGTCAATAAACTAATCAACTAAGATGTTATAGTGTTTGTTCAAGCTATATCAAAATAATGAATCCTCAACTTTGAAATATGTATGATCAAACTAAGACATTTATGGAGAAAGACAATTTTCTTTTCAAGATGTTTCCAACTCTAACTTTGAACTGAAATAAAACCATGTCTATATGGTGAAGGGTGTGTGATAGAAGTGTCCAGACGTATGCACCCTGTATTTTCCTTATAATATCCAAACAATCTAAAAGCCATTCTTTTTTAAATCTCCTCATTCTTTGTGCAAGGCTCCTGTAATGATATGGCCTGATAGCACCTAATAGGGCCATTATGGGAGGGTCTTTGTCTTTCTCAGGTGTGGAATGCCATACATATTAATGAGAGATCAAGCCTCCTGCATAAAGCTTTCTCAAACAAAACACGTCATTAAAAATGTAAAAGACTTTATTGACTTATCTGAATGAGTAGTCAGGATGATTCTCACATAGTTTTGGAGCAAATATTCTAGGCTATGTGATACAATTTTCAAAAGTCTTGTGAAGAAATAATCAATATGTGTTTTGTGGTCTTATTTCAGCAACTTTCATTTTTATTTTTTTCAATAACCACGCATAAACATTATTCTATTAAAAATACAAACATGTACATACATGTTGCTCAGATCTCATGGTAGCCAAGTTTGTGCTATATAGAGTGAATTTACACCTTTGCCATTAACATGTTTATAAATAACTGAAAAAAGCACAAATGTCAGTGCATGTCAAAACATCCCAAGGGCCCCAAAAACACTCTGGTCCCCAGAGGGTTAAAGTTAATTTGACCACGCCCACGGAGCGCGCGCTCTATTCAAACACAAATGCTCTGAGGCGATCCACGCCCACATCAGCTGGATAACCCACCGAAAGAGACTCATATTTACGACGCTGTGAGGAATAATACTATCTTAATAATAATCCTGGAAAAAATTACCTCAGAAGTGCAAGTAGTTTCATTTGGAGGAGCAACGGATCCAGCCGAGAAATAGGTACATTCTTTATTTTCAAGTGCTTTGTTCTAATCGCGATATGGAATAGTGTCTGTAAACAAAAAGACTTTTTGAATCGCGTTTTTGTGTGTGAATGAATGAACAGCTTTTACCTAACTATATTCCAATACTGAGATGAGTAAAAATCGACTGAAATATGTTGAAATAAAATATTTTTGTATAAGCAACGTATTAAACTGCAAATTAACATTTATATGTCCTAATCATAAAAACGATATGTTACATATGAAAGACAAGATGTCGTTTTTACTGTAAAATACTGCCACATCAAATAAGCTTGTTTGCTAAGATGTTATTATAGTGGTTGTTCGATTGTAGGCTATATTCAAACTAATTAATCCGCAACTGTGAAATATGTATGATAAAATGTATACTTTAGTATATACAAAGTAAGATTACATTTGAAATATAGTTAAAATTTTAATTGTTGTTGTAATTGTAACCTTTTTATTAAAATAGCAAAAATATATGTAGGCTACATATAAATAAATCTTAGGTAAATCTTAAAAGCTCAATATAAGCCTCCTCTTTAAATTATTTGTATTGTGTTTTATTAGTGACACATTTGGGATATATTCCCAAACTTTCTGTAAAAACAGTATGATAATTAACTGCACAATTACTAGAAATTTTTACATTTGATATTATACAATTTGCAAGCACAATTTGAAAAATAAATAAATAATTGGAACTGTGAACCAATTTAGTATTATATAGGCATATATATATATATATATATATGGTCATTGCATTCTTGTGGCTCAGTGACACACCTGAATGAAAGGGTCATTAGTATGCAGCTCCATTATGTGCTCATTATGCGGGCCCATTGTCTTCTCAGGTGTGAATCACAGCAGGTCACACCCCTGCGCATATTGCCTTTCAAAACAAAAAGTGTCATTTTTAAATTTAAACCAATCTATTGTTTTATGTGAATGATAAGGCAGGATGATTTTCAGATCATTTTGAAGAAAAAACTCTAGGCGACAACATCCATTAGTCAAAAGTCTTGTGGACAGATATTTAGTATGTTTTTTGTGGCCTTATTTCAGAAACTTTAAGTTTTAGTTTTTTCAATAACCACGCATAAACAATATTCTCTCAAAAATACAAAAATGTACATACATGTTGATAACACATTATGGTAGCCCTGTTTGTGCTAAATAGAGTGTAATTACACCTTTGCCAGTAATATGTTTATAAGCAACTGAAAAAAGCACAAATGTCAGAGTATGTCAAAACATCTCAAGGACCCCAAAAACACCTTGGACCCCAGAGGGTTAACTGTCGGCAGTCTGTATTGTATGTGCGCCTCGAACACCACATGTATACGGCGCCGGGTTATTTCTGTTTGATGCTTATTTTATCAGATCTTTTTTGCCGTAAAGCAATTCGTTACATCGCGAGACCTGATATCACGCGACACTTCCTGATGCTGCGGCCGGCGAGCCGCCGGCTCAAAGTTGCAAGTGTGTTTTTTCCACTCACATGCGATAAAGGGGGTGCGAAACGACCACCAGTCAACCCGAAAAGAGTAATATAACCATTCCAATGACTCCGAAGCTGTTCGGTTGAGGTAAAAAACCTGCATAGTTCACCTTTAATATGTGAATCTGTATGTAAATCAAAAGGTAACAGTAATCAGCAAAAACACATACCTTTCATCTCTGTGTCACCATTGTTGGTGCTGGAGATTTTCCTGTCCTTTTCTAGCAATCTGCTGTCCACCACATCTGTTTTTACCTGTCCCAGTGTCTGCAACAGCAGCATGGTGTCAAAAGACTCGTCTCCCCCTTCTTTTAACAGCTCTAACACCTGCATACAGAGCACACATATTACAAGACGTTCTCTAGGAAACCAAAAAATAAATCAATTCTGATAGTCAAACAATAGATCAGATTCGTTCAGTCAGCTTTTAAAATATCCAGAATAATAGTCGATATAAAATAACAAATGCATTAATACAATTTACTAATACTTTAAGTATGGTTCACTTCAAGTTGAAATTACTTATAAATTCAGGAACACAAATGTACAATAATTAATCTGTAAATTAAGCAACAGTTGAACAAATTCATCAGTGCATTTGATGAAGCATTTGACCTCCTTGCAGTCAAGCTTTTGACGTATTTGCTGCTAAATGGAGCTCAATTTGAAGTTTCAGTTTCATTTTATTGTGATGGTCCCTTTAACACATTCTGTTGACTATGTAACGTTGCACATACATGTCTCAGAGTGTTAGTAGAGTATTGGTAGACTGGTAGGGTTAGGGTTAGAATAAGTTGACTAATGTAGTTGCAAAGTTACTTATAGTCAGTATAATGTCTGTTGAGGACCATCACAATAAAGAGTTGGCAGATATTAAGACAGTCTACTAATACTCTAATGAGAGTTGATTGACATGTAGTTGCAAAGTTACTTATAGTCAACAGAAAGTTCAAAAGGGACCATCAAAATAAAGTGTTATTGAAGTTTCAAATATGCAGATGTTCTTCTGATGTTCAGCGCTGATAGTGATAAGGCCGTTTCACACTGAGCACGATGCGATAAAGCTAAGCGAATCGCAGACGAACAGAGCTTTCTCACTGAACGTGAACCGACTGATTGCCTTCACGATAGAGGGCGCTGACCGAGAACACGTGTCCTCATGCATTTATCTCGTAGGATTCCCCATTTGGCTTTAACCTCGTCCGCTGCACAACATACAACAGTAAGTTAAGATCAAGTTTGATACTACACAGAAACCATCACGGAGTGTGTGTTATCACTTCAGACTGTGATCTAAAGTGGATTTTGATTCGTTAATGGGCAGAAGTACATTAATTGTAGTGGTTTACAACAAACTGAATGCTACACCTGCTTAGCATTTCTTATGTAAGCATTTCTCGTTCTTTATTGATATAAAAAACACCGCATGAAAAACACATCCAGAACATTATCTATGTTCAGAAACGTTGTTTATGAACCGTGCGGAAATCTGAAATGAACACAACGTCGTCTTTCGGAAGGGCAGGAGTTATGATCACATAATATGATTGACAGCTCTAGAGCGAATGAGCTCTCTGACTCATGGAAAATGAATAGAAAATGATCATTTATATTAAGAGCATGTAAGATTAAATCTGTTCTCAGACGCCAATAACACTCAACATCATTCTCTTCTCTCTTCCAGAATACCTTTCTTCAGTGTTTACACAGGTTTTCAAAACAGCACCACCACTCTCACACTTTTGTGTAACAGCAGAGGCTCGGATAAGCTCAAATCGAATTGGACGGTTCGTTTCATCGTGGGGCGATGAAGAAAAGAATCGGACACACTGGTCAAAAAATATTGCTTGGTCACGCTCAGTGTTGCCAACTTAGTGATTTTTTTTTTTAGAAAACGCCTGGGGGCAAATCTAGCTGGCAGACGCGATGGACTTACCACTTTTCTGCTTCTCCTTTGTTTTATATTTAAAGAAAATAGTTTGACCATTTTAATTTCCATTCTTCTCTTGTGCTTATCTAGCCTGGGAAAACCCAGACAACTTCCGGCAAATTTAGATTTGCTCTGAAAGTTAGTCTGGCAAAGGGCTCATTCAAGCCCATTTCCAATCCGTCGAAATCGAGGCACCAATCAGAAGCGTTGGGGCGGGCTTTACACGATGACGACAGCGCTGGGATTTTGTAGCCTACATTACAAAGATGGATGCCGCCGTCGAACATCACTCGTTCGAATCAGCTATCGGGTCTGTTTTAAGCCATTCGAATGTTTCCTTTTTGTTAAAAACCGAGCAAAGAACAACACTCGGAGATGTTTCTCCGCCGCTCTGCATACGTCATCTCCTTCATCGCTCTGATTGGGTTTAGGTCTATCCGCGACGCCCGTTGGTGACGCCCCTCTGGAAATGATTTGTCTATGACGCTTTGGCAGACCATAACTCAGTTACAACTGAGAATGGTCTGGTTTTAACCAGGCTAGTGCTTATCACTTGTATTACTCACTATCACAGAGCTTTAGTTCATCCAGTTTGCCTGACACTCTTCTACATAATTATAACAAATTCGAAATAAATGACTTAAAGTTCAAATACTTTTTCAAAATGAATCTGAGATTAATCGACCAATTAAAAGTTAATTTAAATGAACACCCCGTATCCAGAGTCTACACAACAAATAGAGCAAACCTGATCAACGCACCTTCAGGCACTTATAACTCTTCAGCTCACTGAGGTTCTCTTCCAGAAACAGCAGGTATAACGCAAGATCATCCCAGGTCGCCTGTCCAAACTGCATTACCCCTAATGTGGGCAACATCTCGTAAGGCTTCAAGAACCCCATGCTCCTCCTGAATGGAACCAACATGGCGTACAAGCACAAGGGCAACAGCAGCAAATACACACACAGATTTATGTAGCTCAGGAGCTGAAAGACGCCCACGGCAACCAGCTTGCACTGCATGGCCGGAGGGACCGAGGAGTCGTTGATCACCACGCCAGATCGAATGTCACATTGAAACTCATCTGTGATGGAGAGACGGATGTAATAGCAAAGGTAGATGCAGGCTAATATGAGGGCCAAGAAAGTGATGGTGCGGCAGAGGAGGTATCGGACCAGTAATCCTCGAGAGAAGCGTTTGGTCCTCAAGTATTGTTCCACCAGAGGATATTTAAAGCAGCTCTCGGTAACGTCTATCACAGAGCTAAAGAAAGAAAAACACATGCAAGCATAACAGGATTTAAATGTTACAGGAATGTAATGGGAATGATTGGTGAGAGGTTATGGTAAGTGTGAAAATGGCAGAGATATTTCTAGAAAGCTACTGATAGAAGGTTAGTCTGTGTATGCGTGCCGATAACTCTGGCGGAGTGAAGCCATGTGACTGTGTGACAGCTCTGTCAGTGTAAACCCAACACCCTGAACCGTCACGAAGGACCACCAGGCATGTTCTCTGCTCTTTGCGTGTTCAGTTCACCTGTATGAGCCCACACGGCCTGACTGCGAGTCCTGCTTCCCTGCAGTGTGAAGGCATTTGGCCAGTTTAATGGCTCTGTTGTAGGAACGGTCCAGTTCTTCCATTATAAAGGTCAGATCAGAAGAAAGCACAGGGGCTCCTGTGAACCGCCAAAACAACGCTGGCATGTAAACTGATATTGCCACCAGCAACAGGATATAAGGAAAGAACTGCAGAGAGAGGGAGAGGGGTTACATTTTAAAGGCTCATTTGTCCTAAAACACATGAATGATAATTTTGATCATCATGATTTCATTTTTCTTTATTATAATATTATTATTATTATTATGAGGTGAAGGTGGATTTTGTGAATTCTATGACTAATCTCTTAAAGGGATAGTTCACTTTGAAATTATTTTTTGGTATGTTTTAGCTTACCTCAAGGGCATCCAAGATGTAGGTGTCTTTGTGTCCACAGTAGTTTCAATTTTGATATTTTTAGGTCAAACCGTTCTTGTCTGTCAGTCATATAATGCAGGTCTATGGTCACCACCTCAAAGAGCATGCACAGAGAAGTCCAAATTAAACATGATTTAATGACTCGTAAATGTAAGTACACATTGATGGCCTAAGACACGAAACGAGCGGTTTGTGTGAGAAAACGAACAGTATTTATATCGTGTTTACCTCTTGTAGCGCACAGACCGAAGCGCCGGCGCCCTCAGATCACTTGGACGTGGCTGTGGTTACAAGAGGTAAAAACGATATAAATACTGTTCGTTTTCTCACACAAACCGCTCGTTTCGTGTCTTAGGCCATCAATGTGTACTTACATTTACGAGCCATTAAATCATGTTTAATTTGGACTTCTCTGTGCATGCTCTTTGAGGTGGTGACCATAGACCTGCATTATATGACTGACAGACAAGAACGGTTTGACCTAAAAATATCAAAATTGAAAATACTGTGGAAACAAAGACACCTACATCTTGGATGCCCTTGAGGTAAGCTAAAACATATCAAAAATTTATTTCAAAGTGAACTATCCCTTTAAGCCTCTTTATACTTCTGTATGTTGAGAAAACCATTATTTTAACAATTTACTCGAGTAATGCACAAATTCCACATTTAATCAACAAGGAAAATGAATGATTGTTTTTTAGGGGACCATCAAAATAAAGCGTTACCATAATAATTTCTTCTCTCTTTTTTTATGTTAAACAATCGAGCTTCTATTTTGATGAAAAACTTATAAATGCTTCTCATTAGTTGCAAGTTGCATGTCCAAATGTGCAGTGTGTAAATGAACACAGTGCTGCACTTCACTCTCAAACACACAGCATATATTTTTAATTAAACCACAGCCTTTGTGATTTCATAATCACTGCATGTAAATGCCAGTGAAATACATCGCTTATGGAATTTTACCGATTACTCGACACAGGTAATGTAGGATTTTTTTTAATCGAGTAATCGTGACAGCCCTAGACTACAACACTAAGGACAACTAGGTAAAAGGTGTGAGAACATGTTCTTATGGCTTTACCTTGTGCAGCCACAGTGGCAGGCCTCCCGTGTCCTGCGTTTGCACTGCCGCCCAGCAGTACGAGTCCACATAACCAGCCTGACGCCACGAGAACTTTGTAGGGGGGAAACAACTAATCTGTGTACCTAGAAAAAAGAGAATCAACAGTTTTACAGTAGATGGAGACTAAGTGTGTGTGTGTTTTGAGACTGAGACAGAAATGCATTGGGTGTATTATCAACAGGAGCTTATGTGAAATATTGATCTTCCTCAGTGTTGGGCAGTAATACGTTAGTAGTAACACATTACAGTAATAATATTACTTTTTGCAGTAACAAGTAGTATAAACAATTACTATTTCAGTAATAATATTACAGTTACCATCCATAAAATAGGCTAGCTTGTTACAACATAATTTTTGTTGCCTCAACCAATTTTAAATCCACCAATCCAACCATAGATTCATTTTCGTAACATTCAAGACTTGTACATGTGACGTCACCATTGCAGCAAACTAGCTTGAACGATAGAAAAGCTTGCATTTAGCAGCTGGAATTTTTGCCATTACTTTGATTCTGTCAGGAGAATAGATCACCATTGTCAAATGCAAGTTGTGGCATTGCTTTACTCTGGCATTACACGGTTTGACCATCCACATCCCTTTGATTCCTATGTACACACCTATTATCAAAAATCCTTCAAGAAAACTTTTTTTTTCTTATTATAGCTACAGTTAGAATCAAGCTACTCGTGACAATTTATAATATTAATACTACCCTTACTCAAAACTCACTGTAAACCACCACTGTGTTTGTAATAACTTCCGATTGTGATCTAATGTAGATTTTGGTCATATGATTAGGTAGAAATTATGTTGTTTGTAGCATTTAGAATAACCTAATCACTACACGCTTAGCATTTCTCATGTAAACATCCTTTGTTCAATGTTAAAATCATTTCAACACTTTTTTTAATTCATGAATGAATCAGTGTTTTTGAATATATGTATTACTTGAAGGAACGTTTAAGGACTCACTCAAAGCCAATCCCTTACTGCCACCAAGTGGCGTAACAATGCACTGCCTGACAGCCTGTCTAGAAGCAGCTGAGACAAACCTGCGCTGATACTGGTGAAATATCAGCAGTTCAAGAGAGCCTGACTATTATACAAACAATAGCCCAACAAGCTTATTGTCAGGTTTATGTTCCGTTATGTGGAACCTTATTTTGACAATCAGTTGTTTCCTCGCTCTGTTTAGTTTTGGTTTCACTGGTTACTGATTAGATCCTCGTTAGTTTAGTCTAGTTTACTTTCCATTGTTCTTGCCCTGTTTATATTGCCCTGTGTTTCAGTTGTTCTTTGTCAGTTCTCGGTTATGCACTGTGTGGTTTGCGTTGTTCTCCTGCGTGATCATTCAGAGTGTTTGGATAATTAATAAAGCCTCTTTTGTTGTTGAATCTCCCTCATCTTCATGCCTTCGACCACATCGAAATACTTATTTATATAGGAAAAAAAAGATAAAAAAATGGTGATAATATCGTATATCGAAATTCCGTCACCGCGACATCCCTAGTAATAATAGTGTTAGTATTATTATCCGTCTGTTGTGCACAGCTGCGCATTCATGAGACAATGTCAGCACAGCAATTCACTCGCACAAGAGCACAATTTCAAGAAATCAAGATAAATATCTGTATTTTGTTCCGGTTGTTGTCACAATAACAAAAGGTTCCTGCATTCACAACTGTCATTCTGAATGTTATCTAATTATTGTTCTGGTCCAGAGATATTCACCTCAGAGTAGAAAATACACACACTCTTTTGGTTTTCTAGGTGTTGTCTTTTGAGTAGTTTTTTATAATTAATTTCTTGATTTCTCAAAACACTGCACTTGTGTGCTTTACTCGGGCGGGTGGAGTGGTGCGCTAATACGAAAGTCATGATTTTCGCAAACAATAATTTCAATTTTGTTTTGTTTTTCTTTTCACCAGCCCCTATTGCATGTCCTCAGAACACTTTGGTATGAATAGCATGGAATCGTTCTGAGACCATTTTTTATTTTTTTTCTCCTTTTGTGGTCTGAAAAATAAAGTCATTATGTTCACGTTCCAATAGGAGAGAGGCGTGCCAAGCATGTTCATGAGAATCATGTGGCTTTGTCGAGCACAACTCCTATAGCTGCATTTTAAGTGTCTCCCATCCAAAAATCCCAATGAGATTTGACACTTTTTATAAGGATACTTTTCAGCTTTCAAATTCTTCCCATTTTATCATGAAATTAAAACACATGAAACATTTCAAATATATATCAATATTGAATTATGTAATAATGTCTACTGTGAAACCATGATATGTTTTGAGACAATTATCATACCATAAAAATCACATTCCATTGCAACCCTATTATTACAATATAATTATTTGGTTACGGTTTATTTTTAGGTGCTCTTGTTAGAGTAATTATACAATTAAGTAAACAGTTGCTTTATATAATGAACAGATTTAATTGAGGCAAATTATTCACACTTAAACATTGATTGATGCATTCATGTAGCCTAGAGCACATCAAATATGGTCAACCGAAGCTCAAACGTAACGTTAGGTGCTTGACACTTTTGTTCTGACGTGACGCAAACCCGTTTGAGCTCCCATAAAAACCAGTGAGGGTTTGGTCTTGCACATCAAACAATTCCTGAAGAGTATATCACTATTTGCACTTGTAAACAAGATTTTTTGTTGTTGCTGTAAACACTATTAACAGCAGCATTTACATCAGCAGCATTTACATTTTTAAGATTTACATGTGTAACTTACATCACCTGCTGGGCTGTTCTGCCATTTTTAAATTTCAATCAATGTTTAATCTTCATGCCATAGTTTCAGAACTTGGTATATTACAGAGATTATATAAAAATACGTTAAAACTTTTGAATACAGATGTGTGAGATGACTTGCTGTAATAACATAACATTCAGCATATCTGTGCTGTCACCCACTGAACTTCATCAAAAGGTCATGCATGCGCCAAATAACTCTGAAGCATAGTATTATTATACATATATTTAAGTTACTTAACCTGTTTTTTTTTTTTTTTTTACCCTCAGGAATGGGGTGTATACCGTTGCAGTACAATTTAGTCAATGTGGAAACATGTGTCATTGCTTATGCTATACAAAAAAATATTGTATAAAACAAAAGCATAGGATAAAATACTAAGGGAAAATACAAAATGCAGTTCAGGTCATGCATTTACGTTACTGCACTTAACACTGAATAGATCAGAAAAAGTAACTTAAGTAACTAGCAAAACATGACTTGCATAAGATCTCTGATGATGATGATGAGTGTGAGGGAATCACTTACCGACAGACACTTCCTGAGCGAAGGCTAGAGAGATGAGAAGCAGAGGCAGACCCACCGCGATACAGGTGACCATCTTATCCAGAGCCAGCTCTAACCTGATGCCTTTATACTTGTTCTCAGACGCGGGCTCCTTCAACACGAAATCCGAGAACACGTACTCTGTGGCGGCGTGCGCTATAGCCATGACTTCCCTCTGTTATCATCCATCCATCTAATCACAAACATATAAGTTATCTAACTTTCGATTGATTGAAGAAAGCGGGTCACTGTTCAAAAGGTCCTCATCCCCTGAACAGGCATTGAATTGTAAAAAGCTTTAAGTATGAACGGATACAGTAATTGGCTTTAAATGTGAAAACGCAAACAACGACACTATTTCCGAAAGCATTTCTTTGTTGTTTTCGTGTTGTCCTTCTTCGTTTTCTATTTCTTCCTCTTCTTCTTCTTGAGTTTTCTTGGCGGTTGGCAAACCAGCTTAAAGTTGCTTTGCTGTCATCTACTGGACAGGAGTGTGGATCAGAAGATTCGGCCCCAATATTAACCACAGGACAAGGGGGAAGGGAAAATAATAATAATAATTAACCTTTTATACTTGCTCCATCATGCCTGTTTCTTTCAAAAGTTTAATTAAATGTGTATTTCCTCAATGCTGCTCCAAGAATGTTTTTTTAAAGTGAAGTTTAGTTTTCACTTTAAAAAAAAACTTTTAATTCATCTGTTTGATTCTAGTTCATTGTTGCAATGTATGCATAACATTTGCATGTGTATCTAATAGGCTAAATGAAGTGTCTTGTGTGAAGTCTCCCCTTGTGTGTCCTATTCTTGAGTGATAACCCTTTCTTCAGATCTCTCTTTCAAAACCAACAGAGCTTTGCATATTATACAAAAGTCTTCCTGTGTCATTTATTAATATCCCAATATTCCTGCCATATTTTTCTGAGTTTGATCTTTGGTCTATGATTACTGGCAACAAATAACCAGCAGCTTCTGTAACGTTATTTTATACCACCGTAAAATTACTGTAAAACTAACTACAGTATTTTTAAGCATAGGCCTATTGTAAAATAAAGTACAGCATTATACTGTTATTATTTGATTAATTTTACTGCTACACAATGATCAGGACTGCCAACTCTCACGCATTGACTGTAAGACTCACACAATTGACCCTTTTCCATCCCAGATAGCACAAGTCTATTTGATGTGATGTTTACATCTGGAAGACTTATTTTTAAGAGTGTTTGCTCATCTGCAATACGTCTATAGGACGTTTCCTGTCAGATGTCAAATAGACGTTTAGAAGATGTCTTTAAGATGTAATGATTTAGAATGCATGTTAAACTGACATCTTCTAAACGTCTATTTGATATTTCTAAACGTTCTATTCCAGAAGGCTAACCCGCTCCACGAAACATAACAAACTGTTCCAGCCAATAACCAACAAGAAGGATTTGGGGGGTTAGTGCGCGGATGAGGAGGAGGGAGGGTCTAGCGAGCCTCCGTTTTGTTTGACAATACTTTAAACGTCAACAAGAAGTGACGTCACGCGACATCGCTTAGAGCACCTTTAAAGGACAAGTTCGGTATTTTACAATTGAAGCCCTGTTTCAAGATCGTTTCTGATGAAATAGAACGGTTAAGATTCAAATTTGGACACATGCTGCTGTCCCGAGAAATTTCGGTTTCTGTGGTTGCACAATGGTTGCATAGGTGCACAGAAACAATCCTTCCTAAAACGCATTAAACTTTAGTTTACAAAAACGTTAAACTCACCGAGTGGTCAGGGGTGTTCACTGATATGCTCACACAAAAATCGTTGCAAAAGATGCTTTCCAACAGGTTTTATCGAAGTTTTTGTCCAAGTCAAGTCAAATGGAGTTGTTCAAAAACTACGATAAAACCTGTTGGAAAGCATCTTTTGCAGCGATTTTTGTGTGAGCATATCAGTGAACACCCCTGACCACTCGGTGAGTTTCACGTCTTTGTAAACTAAAGTTTAATACGGAGCCCCCCTAGTCCCACTTTGTCAAAAAAAAATGATTATAACTATCTCGTGGCCTCAAGATAAGTAACTCGTGGCCTCAAGATAGTAACTCGTGGCCTCAAGATACTATCTCGTGGCCTCAAGATAAGTAACTCGTGGCCTCAAGATAGTAACTCGTGGCCTCAAGATATTATCTCGTGGCCTCAAGATAGTAACTCGTGGCCTCAAGATATTATCTCGTGGCCTCAAGATAGTAACTCGTGGCCTCAAGATAGTAACTCGTGGCCTCAAGATAGTAACTCGTGGCCTCAAGATATTATCTCGTGGCCTCAAGATAGTAACTCGTGGCCTCAAGATAGTAACTCGTGGCCTCAAGATAGTAACTCGTGGCCTCAAGATATTATCTCGTGGCCTCAAGATAGTAACTCGTGGCCTCAAGATAGTAACTTGTGGCCTCAAGATAGTAACTCGTGGCATCAAGATAGTAACTCGTGGCCTCAAGATAGTATCTCGTGGCCTCAAGATAGTATCTCGTGGCCTCAAGATAGTATCTCGTGGCCTCAAGATAGTAACTCGTGGCCTCAAGAGATAGTATCTTGATAGTATCTCGTGGCCTCAAGATAGTATCTCGTGGCTTCAAGATAGTATCTCGTGGCCTCAAGATAGTATCTCGTGGCCTCAAGATAGTAACTCGTGGCCTCAAGAGATAGTATCTTGATATTATCTCGTGGCCTCAAGATAGTATCTCGTGGCCTCAAGATAGTATCTCTAACTTTAATGAGTTTTAGGAAGGATTGTTTCTGTGCACCTATGCAACCATTGTGGAGGTGGGGGGTGGGGGTGGGGGGGGGGGGGGGGGGGGGGGTTGCAACCACAGAAACCGAAATTTCTCGGGACAGCAGCATGTGTCCAAATTTTTATCTTAACCGTTCTATTTCATCAGAAACGATCTTGAAACAGGGCTTTAAGTGTAAAATACCGAACTTGTCCTTTAAGGTTTGAGTGTCTTATCTCTTTAAAATTTAACAGCCAATGAATGCAAAGAATTTCAAACTGTTAACAGTACTTGACATTTAGCAAATTATTTTATAGGTCTGAGGTTGCAAAGGGGTGACTCATTTTGAGACCACGCCAGAAAAAAGCAAGGTGAGTGGCCTGACATATCAAATCTTACTTCTCAATAATAAGGTTGATAAATCAATAAAAAACAAATGGACATTTAGAAATAATGATTCATAACCGATGTCTCTATGGCCTCTGTGAGAGAAAATGCTGATATTTTGCTAAAAAATCCAGATTTGTATTAAAAAACAAAACATTTTACCGGTATTTACTGGTCCAATTTACCTGAATGTGTTAGATAAAATAGGCCATTAATATATTGTAATTATTGCATTTGTGACATACTTTTTTTCACCTTCTAAATGTGTTTCTATGTGATGTGTTTGTTTGCTCGACTATGTTTGTGTGTGCATGTTAGTGAGGTATGTGTACACACAAACATAGTTGTGCAGACATGGGCTCACACTCTCTGAAAAAAATCCACTCACACTCTATTTAATATAGAAGTGATAGGTGTTGAAGTAATCTTTGAAAATTATTTTTTTACAGACATCATGTCAAACAGAAATGATCAAAAAGGAGAGAGAAGAGGGTCAGAAAGGCACATAAAGGAGATAGAAAGGATGTCTGCCTAGGAAAGTACGGTGGCCGAGTGAGCTCAACGCGCTGCAACTGAAGAAAACGCATGCGGATAGAAAAAAACATCCGCAAATTAAGAAAACATCTTCATCAGTTTCACAACACACGTGAGCTCCAAATTCTCACAACACAACCAAATACAGAAACGCGCTGCAAATAACACAGACCACAACGGAAATACTTCCAGGGGAACCAAATAAGTGACGAACCCGACTGGGACGTGCTTATCATGGTGCTTACAGCTCAAAATTCAACTTTATTTTATTTTATTTTATTTATTTAAATTTTTGTTTTTCTGCAAAACATACAGAGATTACATTTTTATGACATACAACTTGTATACAATATACAAAATGTGTTAACACTGCTCAATGTCATCAGAATACAAATGAGAAAAGAACAATGAGCTGAAAACTAAAATAAATATATAAAAAATATAGAGAAGAAGAACATGAAGAAAAGATATTAATCTATACATCAGTTACACTGTACAAATTGTTTCATGTTATGTTTAAATTTTCATTTAGAAAAGTTTCATTAGAAGTGTTATGTAATGTAGGGTCCAAAGTTTTAAAGTTGAGACACTGACACACAGATATATATAACGCATATTTTAAAAAGCTTTTTTGTAAAGTAAAAATAAAAAAATTAATGTATTTGCAACCGTTATGTTAACAGCATTATATTTCTGTGGTAAGAACAGCTCTTCAGCTGATGGACACCGTGCTGCGTTGTCATGGGAACATCCCGGGTCAAAATAATGAGGAAATTACGTTGTCTTTCGTTGCTCCCTTCATCAAGTGCGTTCCACACGGCTACATAACAGCACACAAGTGCCATGCTCACTCCACAGTCCCACTTCAAGGGCTCTGCAATCTGCCCTTCGAAGTGAGTTGGGCATAGGGAAGCCCACGAGCAATAAGCATGTCCCAGCCGGGTTCGTCACTTATTTGGTTCCCCTGCAAACATTTAGGCCAGTCTGCTAAGCCAAGTCTTAGAAACTGGGAGTTATCTTGGACAAAGTCATGTCATTAATGCAGCATTGTAAGCAGCTGACGAGGAACTGCTTTTTTCAATTAAGGAAAATATCTAAACTTAGAAGTATGGTCTCACGAAACGATTTGGAGCTCATCATTCATGCTTTTATGTCTTGGCGTTTAGACTACTGTAATAGTTTATTCTCATGTCTAAACAAGAAGGAGCTCTCTCGACTGCAGCCAGAATTCTGACCCGTACAAATAGGAGGACTCATATATCCCCTATTCTAAAAGAACTGCATTGGTTGCCAGTGTCCTATAGGATCAAGTTTAAAATTCTGGTTCTAGTTTTCAGAGCCTTTTTACATCAGTGATCTGATCCAGCCCTACATGGTACGTGTCTGTGTTATTTTCAGCGCGTTTCTGTATTTGGTTGTGTTGTGAGTATTTGGAGCACACTTGTGTTGTGACACTGATGAAGATGTTTTTTTATTTGTGGGTGTTTTTTTCTATTTGCATGTGTTTTCTTCAGTTGCAGCGCGTTGAGCTCACTCGGCCACCGTAGAAAAGGGCAAAAAATTCAATCGTAGAGGTGGGTAGAGGAGAGGATAAGAGGAGCATAGGTGAATATAGGGAGACAGTTGAGAGAGGAGGCCTAAAAGCAAATGCACGCTTTCTTGCGAGACCTTGGGATATCCCACGAGCCACGCTGCGAAGGCGTATCAGTGGAAATATCACTGGCATAGACCATGCTTTTGGTCTAAAACCAATCCTCCTAGAAGC